AAAAACATTGTGAATCATGCAACTCATATTACTTTATTAACTAAAATTTAACATCAGGAATAATGTACAACCGCAGAAAGTGCCTTAAGTTATTGTTATTATTTTCTTTTTTTTCAGCAAAGATACACTTTTTACAGCAAGTCTAAATAATATGATTGATGATAATATTGGATTGATCAGAAAAGTTTTAGCAACTTCTGATCCGATCAAACTACCAGAATTGAATAGAACTATATATATTGTAATATTTAAAAAAAATTTATTAGTTGTTAAAAAATATTTTGTTCTACGTATTAACAGTTTANTCCTGGACCTTGAGCCCTACATTTTTATTGCCACAAAAACACAAATACATTTTCTACTTATTTAAAAATCTGAAGTAGGATCTTTGAAGATTTCAGAGGTTGCTGTGAGGGTACAATAAAAAGCTGATCTCTCACGTAATGGACACTTTATTTGTCAATTTTAACGCTGCTATTTCAATATCGATAAATTTTCCGCGTCAGTGTCTTGATGGCTAAGTAAAATTGTATTTATTAGATACATTTGAAGTTTTTCTTCCAATTCACCCTCTTGCAACTTTTGGCACGCTTAAGACTTTTGTGACCCCTAAAAACTATTTTCTGTCAACTTTGTTACGTTCTAATATATTCGTTGGCAAGGTAGTTTGTCGTCCAATTGCCCTGAAAAATTTCTGTAAGCTTCTTAAGTTAACTATTTCTTGACTTCAGTTAACAGCAATTGTGACTGCCTGGATACCTCAGGGTGATCTCCTTTGGCCTGCTGTTTGAAGACCCAGACCGATCGGGAAAATAATTACAAAGTTCGAAGCTTTGGAGCTAGTTGTAGAGATTTTTACCAACGTCTCCTGGTACAACGCCGAAGACGTTGGTGTCTAAAGCACCTTTTTTTTGCAGACTCAGTTGTTTTGGTAATTTAAGGTGGAGAGATTGGTTTGTGACACTTGCCCGTTGGAGACTGTCCCGTTAGCTTAAGTTTTTTTTTTCCTTCATAGCTGCTAAGTTTGCCTAAAGAAAATTTTGAAGAGGATAGGTGATTCCTGGTTTAATGCTTAGAGTCGAGAAGGTAACATAGAGTCGTCGGTCACCGGGGTTCACAGCCTTGCGACGAACAACTTCGCTCGTGACGGCTGCCAGTGAACGACTGTCTTGGTTTAATAGTGGCCGTCTTCAGTTGACATATAGTCTTTCAGTCGACGAATCGCTTCCGCAAATGGTAGTAAAAATGTATTTGTTGGCAAGTTAGTTTAAACTGGGCCCTAAAAGAACCGATGAGATTGATGGTTGAGTAGGGAACGTAAATGCTTACATTGGCCCTGAAAACGTCCAGTGGTAAAATTTCCTGTCATTCCTTATGATTATTCTTGATGATGGAGAGCCAGCTACGGTTAGCTTGACTCTTACACTCGGCACGACTCTTGCCGCTGATAAAAAAATATTTCGTCATCGGGTTGTTCCCCGGTTCACCAACCGCTCATCGTTAGTCGGGAAAATGTGGGGATGCCGTTGGGGACACAATCACTGAGGAGGAAGCCGTTATGGCTGCCTAGGCCCTCCAGGGCTGTTTTCCCTGGCTTACATTTGTAGTATAAAATTCTCTGACGGCACCAGGCCAGATTGTGGTACAGCCATATGACTCGGAAGGGTTAGAGCAGAATCTGCTCTGGCTAGACACGTGTCCGGGTATTCTGTCAGAGACGTCATCGGTTATACTAGATTCATTATGGGTGGCACTCGTCAATCCTGGAGGTTTAGGATAGTAGGCCTAAATTAGTTACACATTGGAGAAGAGCGTCATGGGTAACCGGGATACCCAGCTGCACGACGATCATCTACATTTTCGATGCAGCTCGATGAATTGCGAGTAGACGATTGCATGAATTTCCGTGACGCTCTGACCTGTTATAACCATACTTATTCAATTCTGTTGCAGGTAGCTTTGATTTTATGCTGACGCCACCTAGCGGATACTACTGAAATAAAATGAAAAGCTGGCGTATTTTTTGCAAAACTTTGAGCTTATTTATTGCTATTATTATCAAATTTTTCAAGATAAAAACCGTACTAAAACCTTATAGGAATTGTCATGAATCTGTGTGCAAAATTTCAGCAAAATCGGTTCAGTAGTTTTCGCGGTTAGCGATTACAACGGTTTTAGCTACTTTGCTTTATATATTAGTAAGATATTACGGTAAGGTGAGATTTTAAAAATCTTAGCCAACTAAGGTAATGGAGAATTTAAACAAATTTCAGTTTATTTTGTGAGGAGATCATAGTGAAGAAATAAAGGGGCATTGCCCGCTTTCAGAACTTTGGCTTTTTCGGGAACTCTCTCGATAAGCTCGATAAGTCATTAAGTAGTAATCTAGCCTAAGCTTAATTCATTCTGCCTAGGCTAGTAAAGAGGACTACAGAAGTGGTCTGTGATGGGGGAGCTTTAATTGTTATTAACTATTCTCTCCATTCTCTGCCTTTTTACTCCACTTACTGCACTTTGAAAACGAAAAAAAAAACATAGTTCAACTTAAATGCATACGTTAAAAGTAAAAATATTTCATTAATTTACAAGGTACACTAAAAGGTAAAATATGATTAATTTAAAAAAAAAATGTTTATATATTTAAACTAAAAAGTTGTTTGTGAGGGGAATTTAACACAAGACCCGCACAACACCCCAAAAACCCCCGTTGACCTTCACCGCCCCCGACAAAATAAAGGGAAATGCCATCGTTTTTTCGCTTATTTCAAGTTAGTTGAGTTTTTGTCCAGATCGCCCCTACAACCCCCACAGCCCCCGGTGATCCCACACATACACACTACCACCTTCCTACAGATTTTCCTTGACCCCCACTGTCCCCCAGATACCCTCTCAGCATTTTTATGGAGTGTAACTGAAACCCAACTAACCGTCATGGACCGTGATGCCTACTTACACACTTTTCCTAGTTAACTAATAAAAAAAAATTTTTAAACAAACTAATCTGCTTTTATATTTATGTATATGTGAAAATTTGGCGGAAGTATGCTGACATCGTTTCTTTTATTTTGATTTCCAACATTTTTCATCCGTTTACCCCACCACTCTCTACCAACCTCATTTACATACTTGAATAAATATTTACTTTCTGATTCTTATTTTCATCTATCTTTCCACGCCACTTAACAATTCAATCAATTTATTTTTATAACTAAGAGTTACATTATAAATCAATTTGTACGAATAATTGTAGATTGTCTGCATTTATATATAACCTTACTAACATATTTTTACATGCTATCTCTTTGACATGAATCTCTCTGTTAGACAGCAGAGACACTACTCCATAATTGTCATTTAGCCAGACTATGTAAGGCCTTTGGCACACTTATCTTTCTTACACGAGGTCTTGGTGTATTTTGCAAACGATACCAACAGTTAAGTTACCTACAAAAAAAGTTCCTCCACTCTTATTTTAATTATCTTGAGCTATACACCATGATTGCCGTACATTACAGTGGCCATAGCTGACAGTATACATATATATTCCAATATTACTCGGGTGTTTGTGTGGAACATACCACACAAACCCCCCAGTGGAAACCCCGTATTCCCCTCACCGACCTCAACAGAGTTTTTCTTCACAGAGGGACGGACCCCAACTAGTGTGTGTGTATATATATATATATATATATATAATTTGAAACACATCGCACCTCATGGGAATTTTTCAAACGAATCCCCTAATAATTTCATTTAAATAAAAGGACAGCGTCTGCTCCCCGTGTACGTGCAATATTGCCAGATGACTAATCCTTGTTTAATTTACTAGGAGTTAGAGATACGTTCCAATGCGTCGGAGGGCATTGAACGACCATTCACACGATATCAATATCGCTGGTACAGTAAAGAGCCGCATTGCAACAAATCGTTGCCCTTGATATTTGTGGTAAATAAGCCAGTTCTCTTACGTATTCTTGAGTAGATTTCATTTTTAGTATTACTTTTCAAGAGATTTTTGTTTGCAACGCCACACTGAGAGAAGGACTTGTTAGTAATTAACTTCATATGTTAACTATTAACTTAATACGTATATTTTGTATCCCGCGTAGAGCCATCTGACGTGATACAGGTTCAACGTAAATATGGCATGTTAACTATTAACATGCCGTCTGTGTCAGTTAAAACGTAAAAAGTTATAAAGAACATGTAAGCTTATTTTCTGTGAACATACTTGTATGTTGATAGTAAACAGATCCTTCTCTCAATGCAGGTAATCTACAATAAAATCGATTGCATGCACACCCAATGAGGAACATATAGTGTAAAGCTTAATTGAGAGAGTGCCAGGATCCGCCAATCCTGATTTACGCATGTATTGTACAGTGGAGGCCATTTAATTCGTTGAGCGGGAAAATCAAACATTTAATTCCCACTGGTTGATTCGGTCATGTAACCTCTTTTATTAGTAAATTTTACACTTCGTGCTCAACGAATTAAACGGCCTCCACTGTACATTCGTGTGAGTGTATATACCATGGTACATGCATGTATGTAAGTATCATAGACTTATACAAATGGACTGTGCGGCCCAACGAACAGGCTGACGCCAAGACTAGAGAGACAGCGCAATGTATACCGTATCTCTTTTTCTTTCTAACCATGAGAATAAGGGTAGTTGACCCAGTACTCGATAAGGACCCAGTTGTCGATAATTCTATAAGAAACCAATTAATAAAAAAAAAAGACTTTCTGGGAGGCTTAAAAAAATTTTTTTACGAAGAATTATGATTAGGCTATACAGGCTGCACACAAGAATTAAAATTACGTTACATTATTTAAATAGGAATGCTTTAATTTGTGGACAGCCTCTGTTCAGACGATCGGAGCGCCTTCTCGTAATATTGCCGCTTAGCACTTTGTTACATTCTCTACGCTGGTTTATTTTATTAACGTTATATTTATAAGAGTGTAGTAAGCTCAAGGCTATCAATCGTGTGAAAATGGGCAAGGAAATAAAGGTAAGATATAAAATAAAAAACGTAATATTTATATAATTCAATTATCGGCTACTAGGTATCTAAATTTACTCGTGGAGTAGTAGTCGATAACGTTAATGCAATTGCAATTGAGCGTTTATTTTCTTAAAATGAAGCAGTATTTTGTTATCATAACTTTAGTTTTATAACTTAATTACTATTTTATTAACAACTGTGTAAATAGTTATTGAATAAAAAAAAAAGTAACATAACCTAACTTGAATATGAAGCAGTTTCTGCATCTAATATTTTTTTTTATTTGCAGAGCTAGAAATCCCGTCGTGTGTCACCTTATTCAAAAAATGATTTACAAAATGCGTTTGATGCTGTCAAAACGGGAACAGCGATAAATGAACCAAGTAGGATCCACAAGGTACCTTATGCAACGCTGTATTCTAGAGTGAAAGGTATTTATCCTTTGGAAACTAAAAAAGGACCGAGTAGTATTTTAAGTCCAAAAGAAGAAAAGGACATAGTCAACTGGATTTTCTCGATGAGCAAGTGTGGATTTCCAGTGACTAAGCAGCATTTACTGGACAGTGTTCAAATAATTGTGAAAAACACAAAACGAATCACACCGTTCACCGATGGTAGGCCATCAAAACACTGGTATGCAGCTTTCTTGAGAAGAAATCCCGAATTATCAGAAAAATTTTGTCAAAATCTTACCAAGGCAAGATCGAATGTAAGCCAAAAATCCTTCAGAGATTGGTATGCAGAGGTAGGGAACTACTTGGAGAAAAAAAATTTGTTAAATGTGGAACCCAATCGAATATTTAATTGTGATGAATCTGCCTTCATGCTCTGTCCAAAAACTGACAAAGTTTTGACTGAAAGAGGAAATAAGAATGTTTATAATGTTTGTAAGAATGATAAGGAATGTTACACGGCATTGATTGGAGGAAGTGCTGCAGGACAATTAATCCCACCCATGATTATTAACAACTATGATCGAATACCCAAAGTGATTGCTGAGCATTTTCCCAGTGATTTCATCCTTGGAAAGTCCGAATCTGGCTGGATGACTAGTGAAACTTTTTATTCATATGTAGTGAATCAATTCTATCCATGGTGTGTAAGGAACAATATACAGTTTCCAGTTATTTTGTACGTAGATGGCCACAGCTCTCACTTGACAAAAGCATTGAGTGACTTTTGTTGTGACCATCAAATAGAGTTGATTGGCTTGGTACCAAATGCAACACATCTTCACCAACCCATGGATGTAGGACTTTTTCGACCACTTAAAACAGCCTATAAAAAAGAAGTAAGAAATTGGAGATTGGAAAACAATGGACAGCACCCTACCAAAGTTTTCTTTCCAAGTGTGTTAAAAAAAGCCTTGAATGGTTTGAATTTAAATAAAATTTTTCAAAATTCCTTTTCCAAGTGTGGGCTTTATCCTTTCAATGAAAGAAGTATAGATTTTTCAAGATTAATCAGTGGTCCCCCAGTAACAGATCAGCCTGAACAAGAGAACCAGGACTCTAATGTTCATCCACATGCATCACTGGATAAACTTAAAATTCTTCAATCTTTTATTGAACCAGACATTTTAAATTTATTTAAAGAAAACAAAGGCCAAGAGTGGACCGGTGCCATTGAATACAAAGAATTATTTAAAGTTTGGTCCATGTGTGATGATGATGTGGTTTATGAAAAGAATAATGCACCCCAGTCTACTTTTAACTTGAGTGAAGATACTAGCTGTGCTAGTTCTGAAGAAAATAATTCTGTCGAACAACTAACATCCACAGTTGTCGAAGAAATCCTTGTTTGTGAAGGGGATCAGCTAAATATTTCTAATGCAGTTGTTGAAGAACTAGTAGACAATGGTTCAGTAGTAAGTGGTTCTCCTGTTGAACTTGATTTTGAACATGTTTCATCCTTAAGACAAAAGGACTTGATGAAAACTGATGACTTATCCAAAAGTATCCCTGAAGATAAAAGAAGTGCTAGTCCACGAAGCAACGTTGATACTAATGAAACTTTGGATACAAATAGAATCTGTGAGAAGGTATAAAAAAAATTTTTTTTTTCAAATCACATAATTACTAATTCATTGTACTTAATTTTTATTATGAATCCAAGACTAGGATTTTTGTATTTAATACATTCGTATTTTATATTTTACTTTAACAGGATATTTCAAAGCATCATGTATCATCACACGTATCGAACTGTGATAATGGTATTGCTCTAGATTTAAGTATATTTAAAAAGCAAGATAAGCTAGTCAATAATAATATTAAAAACAATTTATTTATACTTGGAAAACCTCCTCCTGAGACTGATACATTTTTAATGTCACCCATCGATGATCAAGGTTTTTTTAATTTAGGTGTATCAAATATAATTATAATGTTATTTGGTTTTTATTATAAAGTTTTGTTTTGTTGCAGTGCCTACAAATCATTCCTTAAATCTTGGGTGTGTACAAGTCTCTCAGAAATGTGTTGAAAGCAATATTTGTGGTACGTCTTTTAAAAAACAAAAAAACGAATAAGATGTTGAAATTTTAGTAAGAGTATTCCTGTTTTTGAATATCAATTTTCCAGGTACAACATCTCAAAAGGCTTTCTCTAGCAACGGATTAACTGATTATCTTTTTTACCCTCAAAAATTGAAAGACAAACAAAATATCAAGAAAAAAAAAGAAAAATTGCCCGCTACAGCCACTAGTCCTGAGTGGAGAGCCTACCACGACCTCAAAGCAAAACAAAAATTAGAAGATGAAGCTAATGAAATTAAACGAAAATAAATAAGGGAGGAACAAATGATAGTTAAAAAAGAAAATGATCAGAGTTTAAAAAAATTAAGGGAACAAAAAATTGATCATCAAAAAAGCATGACTGAATTGAAACTTAAAATTCAAAAGAACAAGGCAGAACTCAAATTAGTTCAAATTAGTTTACAAAAGGACAACTGTGATGACTTCCTAACGAAAGTTATGAAGAACTTGGAACATACAATTGAAATTGATTTACAACAACAGAAATATTTTAAAAATAAAATTACTGGAATTAATTTTGAGATACAGCAGTTAAAACCCAAAAAAGAAAACAAAGATTTTCCTAGTGATGAAAAATAATTTTTTTTAATTTGTTTCTATCGCATGTAAAAATCTCTCAGTAATGTTCAGTAATTTTCTTTATTTAAAAAAAATTTTCTACGTGATTGTTACTAAAAATCCACTTACATATATGTACTGTTTAAAAGTTCAAACTAATTTTAACAAATAAATTACTAAAAACTTTAATAGTGCAGTATTCAATTCAAGTTATTTAATTCTAACCTATAATTCTGTCACTTATCGACTACTGGGTCCGTCGCAATCGACTACTGCTCCAAGCCACTCTATCACTATCGGCTACTGGGTCCGTCATTATTTCATTAAAATTAGTTTTTTCTACATAATATATATTGAAAAAAAAAATTGTTTTTACGTTATTCCACTCTTACATATACATATCATATAATAAAAAAATCAGTTAACTCTTTTTTCTTAATTACACTGTTTATTAAGCTCATTCGTCTTAGGCTATCGAGTACTG